CAGTGGAGAGTGAGGCCCAGCTGGATGTGATGTAGTGTATCCTGCCATCAGAGATTATCCCAGGTACTGCTTCTGGGAAAAGAGCAGTTTGTTTAAAACTGTAGCATGAAAGGTTGTCTCTTATAGCTTGCCAGTGGTGCTATGGACTCGCATAGTTTTCCTGTTTTCACTGTGGTTATACATACAGTAAGTTGAATGTTGTTTTACCTTGCTTTCTGTGGAGGAGATGTTACAACTAGTGAATTGCAAATGAATCTTTATAGATTGTTGTCTGCAGGAGCATGCCTTGTAAAGAAAGACTTGTGAAACTAAGCAGCAGAAAATATATTAAGAAAAGTGAAAGAATAAACTGGATTAAAAGAGATGTAATGCTTGTTTATGATTCCTTCTTACTCTGCCCGTAAGCATGTCTTGTGAGCAAAAAAGAGAAACTGCCATGTGGTCATGGTGAGCAAGAAAGCAGATCAGGTGTCCAGAAACAGGCAGGTGGGTGTCTGAACTTGCCCTGGATCACTGTTCGATTCTAGCTGTTCTCCTAACAGGTGGCTTGCCGAGTGGCGTGCCAAGGTGACGTTCATCCAGGGAAGGGCCTGGATGACAAGCTGCCTCAGACGAAGAAGAGGGTGTTTGCTTTGATAAGGAAATTGCCAAAACTCGTGTCTCATTAGTGGTTCCTAAGGTTCTTTGGAAGTGAACAACAGTTTAATTAAAGGCTGACGTAAACACGTTTCTGCACACTTTCCCTGCAGCACCTCACCACATTAGAATTGATCAAAATTGTTGCCTTGGGCTGTCTTGAACAGCTATACATCTGGAGCACCATTTGTGCAAGCTGCTGATGAACAGGCTACATACGTTACGCTTCACAGCATCTCTTCTGCCTTCCTACGTAGACAGATTTACCTTGTTGGGAGATGAGATGATCTGACTCTTTTTATCTGCATAAGCCCTTTTTTTTTTCTTTGATGTGATGCTTTAAAATGTATGACATGCCACCTGTTTGGGTGCATACATACTGTATCTCCACAGTGACATGAGAATACAGGGAAGACTGATTTGAAACAGCACTGAGAATTTAAAAAAAAAAAAAAAGCCTATTTTTTGCATTTGAAGAAAATTCTCAGCAGGACAAGACATAGCACCTGATTAATGTAGACCTTTTGATAATTTTGTCCAAGTGCTTTTGGCATCTTTCTGCTTTTTCATCTGTACTTCGCTTTTTTCCCAAAAGTCTAAAAATAAATCACACTTGAAACTCTTCTATTTTCATTCTCAAAGTAGTAAGGATTGGAATCTCATTCCTGAAACTTTTACACAGATGTAAGAGCAAGTGGCTTATTTTTGTGACCTCTGTTTGTCACTCATTAGGTAATTATCAGTATATAGCTAAGCTCTGTGTAGCTACTAGAGTATATCTCATGATGTGGAAAAGATAAGGCATGTTTTAAAATGAGAAAATGGTGTGTTTTCTGTTATGTAGAAGCTGCTAGTGAAATCATATGAAGTCTCCCTGTCACTTTTCCTCATTCTGCTTTATTTAAAGGCACTGTTTCTTACCAGTAGAATTAAAGACAGTGAAAAACTGCTTTGCATTTTTTTTCCCCAACTTTTGTTTTTATAACTGGTAACTCCCCAAAGAAATTTAACTTGCGCGCCTTCCAGTTAAAGCTCTAAGCCTCCTCTCTTGGTCAAGGAGGAGATGGCTGCAGCCTTTCTTCCTAACCTATACAGTTATTGTTCCGCCTCCCATGTTGACTGCATCTGTTATTTGGCAGTGGCAGGAGCATGAATGCTCTGTTACGACAGCCAGGCACACACGGGGAGTGACATGGGGTCTGTGGGAGTTGGGGTGGTGGCAGGAAGGGGCTGCCTGAATGACTTCTCAGTGCAAAGTGCATCATTTTAACAAAGAAGATGCTGCCTGCACTTCAGCTGTTATTCTCTGCAGTTGCCTGTGCTATGTATAACGAGATTCTTCTGGAAGTACTTCATGGTGGTGTGCTGTGCAGTAGACATTGAATTTGCTCTTTGGGTAGGTAACGAGTATTTTTACGGCAGTGCTGAATTTTCTGTTCCTGACTAGCAGTCATGTTCACCTTGCTGAGGAAACCCCCTTATGTATGAGAAGGCCTTTGAGTTTGCTTTGTAATTTTTGCTGTCTGTTTTCTATGTGCTAACTGCAATTCTTACTTCCGTAAAGTAGGAGCAGGAATAAATTACACATTTTTAAAGGAAATGCTAGGGTTATCATAGTCACCAGCCTCCTTCTCAGTAAATTCTTTTCAAATTAGTGATGCTGCTTGGGGGTTAATGGATACTCTGATTACATTTCACTTCATATAGCATACTTCTTTCGAGCAACTAAAATATTTTGGGTTTGAAAAACACAACAACTTTTGCTTGTTTAATGAAGTAACAGTCACCAACCAAATTGAATCTCGGTTGCATTCCAGACATCAGAGCTGTTGACGCATGCAGACCTTCATGAGCTAGGCAGCTCTTTCTTTCATGAGTTCTTTTGTTGAATATGAGCTTTACATAAGGAAAAGATTTTCCACTTCCAGTACATGGTTTGTTTTTTCCTTAGGGAGACTTAAGTGCAGTACTTTTAGTTTGAAATAAAATGAAATTGTTTGTACATTCTGTCCTTTGTGATAGCCTATATGTGGTACAGTCAATGAGGTATTTGGTCATTGATAAGTTCTGTGACAACTACTGATGACCACAATATTGTAGTGAGAGGCTGTGTCTCCAAGCTAGTAGGCACTCTTATTTTTTTTCTCAGACTGTAACATTGCAGCATTTCTGCAGAGACAGAGATTATGGATGCACAGAACCACGGTACAAAGACAATAGCAGGTTAATTTTGTCCTGGGCTTTTATAAAACCGTACATCTGTTGTGGAGGTGTGAGAATTTTCTTGCTCTGATGGAGCTAGGGCCTTATATGAAGAAGCTAGGGCTGTCATTTGAGCAGAAAATAAAACATAATGAAACATTTGAAAATCATTCCAGAATGAATGTGCCTTCTTATCATGATTTGCCTATGAAAAACTCAATTTAAAAAAATTCAATCTTGCAATTTTAAAAATTATTTCTTAGCTTAGCAGAATGTATTCAACAAAACTGTAACTGTTTGGCAACTTTGTCTTTGCTACCTGCTGCTGGATTCAAAGAAACAAAATATTCTTCCTCAACAACAGTTTACTTACCAAATTTTGATAAGACTGCTAGAGGTGCCTCTGTCAGCACTCAGTGCTTTTGATAATGACATAAAATTGCATCAGATCAGCATAATAAAAAGCATACAGTAACCTTTGTCATATCTGTTAAAACTGAATGAGTGCTGAATTGCTCTGTTGTAAAGCAATTCTTTGCTCTTGCTGAATGTTTTGCAGAATGAAATCCTTTCTCTGCAGCCTTCTGGAAGACCTTGCAGGGTGTCTGGGAAATCAGAAGACTTAGTAGTCCGGACCAGGGGAGTTACAGGGAGATGGTGGAGGAGCAAAGGCAGAGTCTGCTCTGGGTCTGGTGCCAGTGCCTACGCAGGGCTTGACAGCAGGGTAGGGCAGAGCAGACAAGTGATCTCTCAGTTTGATGGGTCCTGCTCTAAGTATGGCTTTCAGGGTGAAAACTTAAAGTCCACTCTTAAACTCCAGACAGTTCACAAAGCGCTGGTCCCATTTGGTTTCAGTAAGGTGCTCACGTTTTACAGGCCTGTCTTTGACTTCTAAGATGATTTTATGTCCCCCTGAATAGCACAATACAGTGTGCCAGTATTAAAAGTGCCAAAAGGGGTCCATGTAGGAAAGTCAGCTGCAGCGTGGCCCCAGTCCAGTAAAGTACTTAAGAAATGACCTTTGCTTTAAACATGAGTTAGTGCCATTGATTTGAAATGGAACCCACTTATGATATTGATGTGTGTCCTATAAAAATATTATAACTCACTTTGAAATAATTTGGTGCAAAGTCCAACAAATGGGGACAACCTTTTTAGCAGGGCCAGTTGTGACAGGACAAGGGGTAATGGTTTTAAACTAAAACAGGGTAGGTTTAGACTAGATATAAGGAAGAAATTCTTTACAATGAGGGTCGTGTAACACTGGCAGGGGTTGCCCAGGGAGGTGGTAGATACCCCATCCCCAGAAACATTCAAGCCCAGGTTGGATTGGGCTCTGAGCAACCTGATCTGGTTAAAGGTGTCCCTGCTCACTGCAGGAGGAGTGGGCTAGATGACCTTTAAAGGTGCCTTCCAACCCAAAGCATTCTATGATTCTATGAAATGTTGTTTAATTAATTTAAACTTTCAGAAAGAAACCAGTATTTTTTCTTTATGCATTAGCAGTAACCCTGCATGGTAGAAATGACACATTTGTCCCTACTAGTGTGTTATCTTCACACAGTGAGCTCTAAAGCCATGTTTTGTTAGGGAAACTGGAAGGAAGAGGTGGGAAGGCCCTACTTGCGACATGGAAAATATGAGATAGAGAAGTTAAAGTATCCTTTATTCTTAGGGAGGATACATTGTTTCACTATGGTTTTGGGAAGGGTGAGGGATGGGTTTGAAATAACAAAGTAATAAATACCATAAACCAGCATGTGTATGGCAGTTACCCTACACACCTGACTATAGGTGTTCCATTAAAAAATGCAATAAAGATTATGTGGCTGTTGAAGGAGCAGATGATTTGGTGATGTTCTGGGGAGCTGAGAAGTGTCTAGGGAGGTTCTGGAGACATGCATTTCTTCACTGTTTGGCTTGTCTGGTATGAAAGGCATGTAGTTTCTGTTTTGCAGGACAAAGACCAGTTAGGGAATTATTCTTCGTTCTCAAGTTTGAAAGCAACAGTTTACAATTAGTTTATTGGTCATAGGGGAGTTGAGTCACCAAACAGTATTTATGCAAAAACAGTAAAAATAAATATCTTCAGTCTACAAAACGATGTGTCCTGAGAGAGGCTTCTAAGCTTATGTCTCTGTCCCATTGTTTTTCTATTGCAGATATGTCTTCTCCTACAATGAAGAAACCTGAAAAGCCTTTGTTTAGTCCTACTTCTCCACAGGATTCTTCACCAAGACTGAGCACTTTCCCCCAGCATCACCACCCAGGAATCCCAGGAGTAGCACACAGTGGTGAGGGTTATGGAGGAGGAAGAAATACCTCCCTATTCATTTGGTCTGTTCTTCTTTCCTACAGTCAGATTGTGATGCATTTTTTCAAACTTTCATAGAGACCTGATCCCATTTATAATACTGATGAGAGTAGAAGTGGAAGAGGTTGGGGTTTTTTTGCAGGAATG